TTTCGGAAACAGTTTTTCTGCAATAACTTTTGACCCAAGCCTTGTACGAGCTTACTTTTACCGGCATCGTGTTCCTCTCGTCAAGACGCATTGAATGAACTATAACTTGACCTTGAAAGGTCAACTTGAAAATTTGACCTCAGGTCAAGGTCATGACCTGACCGGAAAGGGTCATGTTGCATATCAGTCGATCCGTATCGTCGAGCTGAACACATCTAAGGCGTTTTCATCGCTCTAGCTTGCCTCTATCAAAAGTTATTTGCGAAAAACTGTTAGATACCATTCGTGACCTAAGATGACCTCAGGGCATAAACAGGGGTCACGGACACCATTTTCATGTTCAGTGTGTCTAAACCACTTGTAATTCAGTGTTTGGGAGTGTTTATAATGTCTTTCGTCCAAAAGAGGCGCATTTCAATTTTCTCCCATTGACTTATAATGGGGAGGTCGCAAAATTGACCTGACCTTAGGTCATCGATATCAAAATTCTGAGATATACATTTTGTACACGCTGTTGCTCTCAGCAATCGCTGATAGTTTCAAAGCGATCGGTCACTCGGTGTAGCTATGACAGACATGGAAACGTTTTATGAGGTGAGGTCACTTCAAGTGACCTGGTGACCTGACCTTGAATGACCTTGGTCTAAAATTTTCACAACATGTGTAGAATTGATGTATGATAAGGTGTACCAAAAACGGCGGCGCTCCGCGCCGCCGTTTTTGAGATATTCGCGAAAAACCACAAGGGGGGGTGTTCAAACACCCCCCCCCCCCAGCAGGGCGCGGGTTAATGCATGATGATTCATGTTGTTATAGTTATAATTGAAGGTAGAGCCCCGGCGTCTACGGCGTTAAAGCCCCATAAAACATTACCCACACACTGACAGAAGGGTAGATCCGCTTTCTGCTTCAGCTCGAACACCAAAGAACGGGATGTGTCGCTAGTCACAGATTCTGATGAGAAAAATTGTATGGTTCAGGTACCTTAAAATGGGAGCACCGCGATCGTTTTTTTTATAAGTGAAAATGCGAGTTCGTTTTCAATAAAAAACGCGAAAGTGCGGGAGGGTGAAAGACTAAATCGCCAATTACTAATGTTGCCATCAACGTAAAATGCAGACTCGGCTATAATGAATAAAACGAAGATGTTATATAAACGCCAATGATCTTTATTTTCAAGGTAGCATGGTTAGTCACTTGACACGCTGCCGAAGAAAACGAAAAAAAAACTACCGAAAAAGACATACCTACATTATACAAACACCTACCTGTACTACGGCTGTTGTGTTCGCCGCGTGTGAGGCGCACCTGACACTCTGGAGGACTCTACGCGAGTGTATTAGATGCGAGCGAAACCAAATAACAGAAAACAACAACCCGTCAGCCACGTTCGGCCGGCCATCTTAATCGGCGGCCATCAGAGATGGCCACCACTGCGGGAAAAACTGGAAAGGAACGAGGGGTTTTTACATACAAAAGGAAAGCGGCACGAGCAACGCGAATAATCATCAACAATGCACAATAACATGAGACCAAAATACCATCGGATAAGCAAGGGCGACACCATAATATTTGGTAGCGCACAACCCCAGCCAGCACTAATTCAGGGTTTCGAAAAACCCCAGCCAGCACTAATTCAGGGTTTCGAAACTTACCAACGTTACACCCATTCGCCGCCAGCATGACATGTATTGACATAAACCAAATGCAATTGTCCGCTGAGCCCCACACGGACAGTCCTCCGTTCACACCACCACCTCACAATGCCTTACACCCGATACAGATCCTGAGCACCAACGCGGACTGACCCTGACCCGCGACCGAGCTCGCGGGTCGGGTCACCCCTGGCGGCGAATGGGGTAGCTACGGTTTCGAAAAACCAACGTTACACCCATTCGCCGCCAGCATGACATTAGGGTTGTTCAAAAAAAAACCGAATTTTGGAAAAGTATACGGGCTCATGACTCATGTGGTGCGGTATTCTTTTCTGAGTCCATTGATGCCCTTTTTTCTGAAAAGTATTGTTTGTTTGTTTGTTTTGTTGGGTTAGGCCCTTTCGGTCGACAAGACCATTGCAGAGCCGGAAGGATGATAGGAATTAGGGGGAGACATTGGTCTGGGCAGGCACCCTAGTGAGTCGCCGGGGCTGAGCCCGTCCAGAGGACAGGCCACCCAGCCCCACGGCACTCACTGCACCCGGCTACGGGGTGCGCTCCCTCGGGAGCAGCGGTGCCGCTCCAAGGGAGCAGCCCGCATGAGATAAAGTTGCCTGTCCAGCCCGGAGGGGGGTTGCGGCGTGGAGGAGAAGGATTTCAGTATCCTGAGGATAGAAGCACGGAACGGTGTGAAAAGTATTAACTGTTAGGGGCTCCTCAAACGGCTTAAAGAGGACCATGTTACGCCCGCCGACCGGCCGGTGTCAATAAGGGCGAGAATTCGACGCCGCCCTCCGGCGGCAGCGCCTTATCGGCACCGCGCGGCACGACATCTGCCGGGCGGCCGGCCGGGCGGTGGGAAGTTTTAAGTGCGTGGTCTTTATCACGCGACCTGGGTGCGCTATCCCATGTTTTCGGGGCGGAAAGTTTCAGTGCAGCATCGGTGCGTCTGCCACCGGGTGGTCAGTGTCGATATACAGAAAATAAGTCAAACAGAGCTAGAAAAGAGTGAGTGATTCTGGGTAGTTGCCTCGAAGCAATCCATTTTAAGAATACAGCTGCCTTCTTAACGTACCGTATCACTTGTTAATTCTTCAAAAAGCAAACTCTGAGCAATAACACACCTCTTTGCACTGCTGTTGACAACTTACGTTAGTTTTGGACGGTAGCTCGCACCCCCAATATGCTGCCGCGCAACTTTATTCCAACGGCGAAACGGCAACTTCGCGAGAATCGAAAATTCACGATATGCGTACAGCAGGGGCTGACAATGCAGTATGCACAAGGACATAATTTAGAGGAGACCCGACAGTCATCGGCCCAAGTTTGGAGGTGGCTTTGACGAGCATAGGAGTCACCAATGTCATTATTCAGATACGTTGATATCAGATGCTAGGGCAACAGAATCGACGCCAGGGTTTAACTTAGATTAGCAGGTCGAAAGAAAACATAACATGTCTGGGAATGACAGGGTGGCCACCCTGACAGTGTGACGAAGTGAGACATGAATAGAGATATTAGCCGGAGTACCTACTCATATAAATCAAGCGCCGTTTATCCAATCCTTCGAGTATAAGCGACGCCGGTAGTCCGGCCAGGGCGGCCGTGCCCACCGATGCCGATCGAGACCCGAATCCAGACCCGGCATAGAACACAGCTCTGCCCTGACGTGACACATTACCCCGGTGTGTCACTCATGACCGATAGACCAATGCAGGAGCCTTGCCAGCTCCTGTTGTACCTACTTCGTTAGATTTTCAATTCTCGCTAAGTTGCCGTTTCGTCGTTGGAATAGAGTTACGCGGCAGCATATTGGGGCTGCGAGCCACCGTCCAAAAGCAGCTTGAATTGTCAACAGCAATGCAAAGAAGTCTGTTATTGCTCAGAGCTTGCTTTTTGAAGAATTAACAAGTGATACAGTACGTTAAGAAGGCAGCTGTATTATTGAAACGGATTGTTTCGAGGCAACTACCCAGAATCATTCAGTCTTTTCTGAGCTCTGTTTGTGTTATTTTCTGTACCATCGACCATAGACCTCTACATACCTGGACTGGACACTCGAATCTGGCGAATTGCATAGTGGCCCTAAAAGTAAAACGTTATATCTCGGGAACTAGGTCAGGTACGATGTTGCGGTCCTCACTACTGGACAGCCCTATTCATCAAAATTTAGGGCACACGTGTGTTGAAGCAATACCATGTAATAGGCCACCGTGAGCACGTGGCGCGTGAGGGATGTTTTCGAAAATGGTGCATCAGTATCTCTGGAACGGCTGAACCGATTGGCCTGAAATTTGGTATGTAGTCTGGTACACCACAGTCAACACTACAGGAAGATCAAAACTTGGTATACCAGTGCACGTGCGCACGTGCGTACCCCTTTTTTGTATCTCAGGAACCCCTCGACCGTTTGGGATGAAATTTGGTATGTAGCCAGATAACACATAACTGATAATGACGCACACTCGATACTTGGCCTATCGGTGCACGTGCGCACGTGCGTACCCCTTTTTTGTATCTCAGGAACCCCTCGACCGATTGGGATGACATTTGGTATGTAGCCAGATAACACATAACTGATAATGACACACACTCGATACTTGGCCTATCGGTGCACGTGCGCACGTGCGTACCCCTTTTTTGTATCTCAGGAACCCCTCGACCGATTGGGATGACATTTGGTATGTAGCCAGATAACACATAACTGATAATGACGCACACTCGATACTTGGCCTATCGGTGCACGTGCGCACGTGCGTCCCCTTTTTTTGTATCTCAGGAACCCCTCGACCGATTGGGATGACATTTGGTATGTAGCCAGATAACACATAACTGATAATGACGCACACTCGATACTTGGCCTATCGGTGCACGTGCGCACGTGCGTACCCCCTCGACCGATTGGGATGAAATTGAGCATGTAGTATACACCACGGTACACCACACAGTAAATTTCGGCAAAAACTTAAAACTTGGCATATTTGTGCACGTGCGCACGTTTTTTATCGCACCCTTTTGTATCTCAGGAACCATTGGATCGACTGGGATGAAATTTGGTGTGTAGCCAGGTACCTACCGCACATGTAGCTGTATCGATCGATCGACAAAAGGCATGCACAATGTTTATTGATTCAAATTTAGATACCCATGAGTCGAAGAAACCACGTTTGTGCCGCTGTCAAAACCGCACATGTAGATGATGTAGCTAGCCCTAAGCTGTAAATAGTACTTTTTTTGTGTGTGCTTTTCAGATTTTGTAATATCTTCGTTTTCTTCTTTCACAATAGTGTTGTGCAGGCTGAGTACCTACTTGATTGCTAAGAATAGGAAATCAAGGCGTAGCTTTTAAGGTTTATACATTTGAAGCCTTCAGCAGCACACAAAGAAACAAAGAAATTGAGCAATGTTTGCATTAATTTCTAGAGCTGGTGCAAACACGGACATACACAATAACAAGTGTTTCATCCTTATGACCGAGACAGTGACTTTACACTCCGAACTCAAAATTAGGCATTTAGAACAAAACATCTGGCACGAACAAGGCAAACGAGCGCCGCCAAGGCAGCTGAACGTCAGCGAGACGAACACGCGGCGATACATCAGCTGAAAATCAACGAGACAGCTGAGCGTCCACGATCTCAAGACATAAAATAGACAACAACGCATAATGGTGCACCACTCCACAAAACATGGTGGCATAGTACAATGAGACTATTGACATATCGAAACACATTACGTATAATCTGCACCATTATTAAGCCGCCACGCGAATATTCAAGGATACAAGCGAATGTACAATAGATACATCTGTATAAATCTTACTATGTTGGGACGTTACTTGGGACGGTAAGTCACTGCAGATCAGATCCGATGCCGCGTGCACCCTAGCGTCTCCCTTATTTCTTTCCGCTGTTCAGCTTTCTGATCTTGTCTCGACTTTGTTCACGTGTCGTCATCTGAGACGTCATTCTGCCCTTGCTTGAATGAATAGCACTATTCATTTCCGTAGCATAGTTTGACGTAAAGACGTTGAATAGAGCGCTGGCCATCCTTCCGTAGACTAACAGGAAGTCATGGCCGCTCTCGCACTTAAGGCCTGCAAGGCTACTGTCTTGCTCGCCGATAGTGGTCATCACTTTCTCGAAGCAGGAGCGTGGCTCGGAGCAACCGAGCAGAGCAGACCGCGAAGCGTCGTCCTGCATGAGCCACCTGTGAATTAGACAAACAGTCGTTTTCTGTTCAAGCGACTGCGCTGAAAATGCCGCAAATGCCGCGCAATTTCTGCTTTATTTGAATGAGTCTTTATTACGTCAAAGACCCGACTTAATCAAGGGGATTTAACTCTAATTTTCTGAGCAATTAGCTGTGCTGAGCGTTGAAAAATGGTCAACGTGGTCTTGGACTGTCATCGAACATTTTCGCATTGGAAACTTTTTTCGAGATGGGACAGCCACTTTAACAGTATAACTACACATGCACCACATCTAAGTTTTAATAGGTAATAATTCATCATACCTGTACACATGGCAGATGTTCATAGACAGCTCAACAGCCAGCTCCGAGGGATAGAGAAGCTTGCCCCGATTCAGGAGGTCGGTAAATGTTTTGATGGCTTCAGCCAGGCCAGCCGCACCGTCCCCGTGATGCTCGAGGTCAGCGTCCAGACGCACTTCTTGCAGCTGGCGAGGGCTCTCGTTCACCAGAAGCGCGTGACAGGCGTGACACGGCCTCCTTTTCAGGGCAGAACGAGCGAGGTAGCCAGCCACATGCATGAGCGCTTGTTCTGCTCCTTCTGATAAAGCCTCATGTTCTGCAGAGGAGGTGATGTCTACGAGCGTCTTAACCACCTCGGAGTCATCTCGTTGCCGTTGTTTGCGGGCCTCCTCCATCTGGGCAGATACTGTGCCCAGGCTGTAGCCAGAGAGCCAGACGAGACTCTTCACACGAATTACCGCCTCACCTTCGAGAAACTGCCTCACGCTCGCCCAGAAATTTCCTCCGGCCAGCTTCCTCAGGTAACCGAACCGGCTCTCGATTCGGTCAGACTGGATTTTGCCCAGCAGAACATAATGCACTAGGTCGCCGTGCTTTTCCAGCAGGTATTCGGTCACGCCGATCAAGCCTCTGCACGTGTAGATGGCGGCCTGTGTCGTGTCAGCTGACATCTTGCCCGCTCCGGTCCTGTTTTGCCAGGCTTCGAGCATCTTTCCAAAGTCGGCGAGATACATAGGCGCGGGAGCCGGGGGGGCAGTGGGGGCAGCTTGCCCCCCCAACTCTGGGGCCGTGGGGGCGGTGCCCCCACAGCTTTGAGACGGAATACCACACTTTTTTTTGCAAATGTTTTCTTTTTTTGTTGAAAAAGCCGAGAGGTGAAAAATAAGTGGCCTAAAATCGGTGAGAAAACTAGATTTGGGGGTACCCTAGGTTGATCTCTATTATGGTGTGCCCCCCCAGTCGCAAAGTAGTTCCCGCGCCCCTGGCGAGATATTTCAGACCACACTTCTCTTCCCTGCTTGGTGGGGCTCTGATGGAGTCGCGCAGACGCACATGTGTGTAAGGAGTTTTTACATTTACGATGCTGAACCACTTCTTCAGCATCTCCAAGAAATCAGCCGTCTGTCTGAAGTTGCAGTGTTCCTCCTTCTGGCCATAAAACCTGAGGGCTGCCACGGTAGTTTCATGAGTGGCTGCCACGGCCAGCTGAACGTTGACACGCTCGACAGTTGTGGGGTGAATTACCTTGTCTGTCAGTCGATAGGCCATTTTGATGTCCTGTCCCATTTCCATCCTGTACAGTTGCTGCAGGTGGTTGTACTCGGCTTTCACCACTGTCTCGGTAGTTGGGAGCTGGCAGATGAGAGTTTTCTTGTTCAGGAGGTTGAAAAAGAAGTTTTTGTATAGGTGCACAGTGTCGAACATCGTGTACACCCTGGCGTCTGGGCTGTATGGGTTGATGATGAACTCTGGATGACGTCCATCTTCACCGAGGGAGTTGTGAAACCCCTGGTTAGTTCGGTGGCCATCGGTTGTGCACGAGACCACGGTGAATCCGATCTCCGTCAAAGTTTTCAAAACCGTGAAGAAGATGTTTCTGATGTCAGATGTGGTGATGCTGGTCACTGGAGACATGGATATGATATCCTCATAGCTACCAGCGACAGATGAGATGAAAGTGCAGAATATGGTACTGGTGACGCCATCCTTTCCCTCGCCGTACAGGCGTCCACCAGCCAGTTCCACCGCTCGGGCCGTGTAGACCTCGTCCATTGCGAGGTTCACTAGCCGTTCTCTTTCGCTCAGTTTTGCAAGTCTCATCTTCAGGTAGTTCACCGTGCCGATCTCTAGCCCCTCTCTGACGCTCAGCGCGGTTGTGAGTCGTCGGAGAGTCTTTCGGTGCGGCAAGAGCAGAACAGCGGAGCGGCAGATATCTTCGTAAAGCCTGGGACTTGTTCTGTCCCAAACTACGGCCAAACTCATCAGCGCTTGGCTGTAGCGCCGCCCCTTGGCAGGAACTGAGGCCAAGCGCAGCTGCTCTGCGACGAACTGGCAGATGGTGAGTTCATCGCCACCGCCGGTCTCCGCCGCCCGATCCAGGAGATCAGCAGCAGAAGACATGAAGTGTTTTCCAGTAGGATTCACTGACTTCAGACGAGCTAGGACATTCAGCACCTCGGCTGTGCTCTGGAAAGTCCCAGACCTGGCCGTCAGCCCGGCGGCGTGCTGAAGCGGGACTTCGGCACCAGCCACGTGCATCCGGAAGCGAAAGTCCTCGAAAATGGTCAGATTTCTTACGATCACAGGTAGCCCGACTGCTTCATCAAGTTTCTCAAGCCGGATGCTCAGGACTCCAGCTGCGTTGGAGGGAAGCATCTTGATCATGATGAAGCCTGAGGGTAGATTTTCATTCTTCAGCTTGGCGTGCAGCTCCTCTAGAGTGGCGAATCTCTCCGCGTTCATCATGTCGGCGCACTGCTGCTGCAGCTGCCGTTCCGTGGCATGGCGCCTCGATGATGGTGTTGCTAGTGATGTCCGTGGGCGGTTGGTCGAGCTGAAAAAAACGGAAAGCATGTAATTAAGACTAGATATTCAAGAATTAGGTACTTATGCAACTTCATATCGGTAACTGAAAATAACATCGACATGTATTAATACACTAACTTAAAAACAATTCTACCAATCAATGCAATAATTTCATAACATGTTTTCTTCGAACGAGAACACATGCTTGACCTCACTTTGAAGTAGTAGCTACAGAAGATAAACTTAACCTGACTTGGATATCACGCGTAACAGAACTGACTGGGCCATACCTCCGAACGGATTGATCTGATTTTAATAATTGAAACGGCGTTTATTTTTGCTGGCCAGTTAAAAAAAAAACTTGTTGAGCACCGAGCGTGCTGCTCATGGCTTAACCCGCGCACCGACGGGGGTCTGCGCCAACTTCGTACCGACGGGGGGAGGGGCGGATGACCGCCCCCCCTGATATCTCGAGAACGAAGCAAGATAGCGACAAGCGGTAAACGGCATCGGATACACACGGTCAAGATCTATAATTTTTACCAAGGTCATTTTCAGGTCAGGTCAAAGATGACGTCACAGGGGTCGAAAAAGTCAAAATGGCGGCGCTGGATATGGAGAGAGTTTTTCTCGAATAACTTTCGAATTAGTCAAGATAGGAACAAACTAAGGGCAGAATCGTGATCCTCTCGTCAATCCGCATCGAATGATATATATGTTGACCTCGAAAGGTCAAGGTCAAAGGTTGACCTCAGGTCACGTGACCTCGAGGTCATCATATATATCATTCGATGCGTCTTGACGAGCTGAACACAATGAGACCATCCACGCGTCTGTATCTTGTTCCTGTACGGAGTTATTGGCCAAAAACCTTTGGTGACCTTTGATGACGTCACATGACCTCACAGCTGCCCTACAGCAAAACAGACCTCAAGGTAGTGAAGGTTGATCGTATATGAAGTCATGTATGGTATATGGGGCCATTCCGACCCGTTTTAGTGGTAAAAACAGGGAGTTGATTTTTCCCCCATTGACTCCCCATTGATGGGGAGGTCGCGAAATTGACCTGACCTTAGGTCACCGATATCAAAATTCTGAGATATACAAATTGTAGCTACTAATGACCTAATAACATCCTGCGACTTTCAAAGGCCTCCGACATCTACTGTAGCTCTGGCACGGTGACAAAGTTGCAAAAAAGTGACTTGAGGTTGGGTCATTCAAAGTGACCTGGTGACCTGACCTTGAAAGGTAGGAGGTTCAAACTTGCACATTATGTGTAAAATTGATGAGGGAATAGTCATACCAAATTTCGCGGCGCTACGCGCCGCGGTTTTCCCGCTATTCGCGAAAAACCTCAGGGGGGCGGATATCCGCCCCCCCCCGTCGGTGCGCGGGTTAACCTCATGCTGATGTTGAACAGTACCTACATATTTACTTCAGCCCATTGAAATCACCCGCTTTCGGCGCTTGCTGCATCCTGTGCCGCAACCCATACTGCAACGTCCATAGATGGCACTTGTGTAGAACCCCTGATGCATGCTGTGCCGCAAGACACGATGTTCGTCCCATTTTAGTCCATAGATCGCACACATGTAGAGTGACTGGGGTATGATGTACCGCAAAATACATTGAAAACGGGAGACGCCCAACGCCGCCAAATTTGGCATACCTAGCCTATTATATAACCTTTATACAATTTCCCTGAAAACTTTAGGTCTAAGTGACGTGTCAGGTGACTGCAAATCAAAGAAAGAGTTGGAATGTCATATCTAAATTTCATTCGCGTTCTGAATATGCAAAGTATAGTTTTAGACTGATTTATTTTAAAATTTTAAAGCCGAGTTTAGCCTATTTAGTTCTATGACAAATATATTCCGATGTTTCGATGATACGGACCTAAGATCAGTTGGAGATCATGACCGCGTAATGTTAGGCCTCTGATGGGCTGGAAATATTCAAATAAATCATGTCTGAAACTGCTAGATATTCGCCTCCTTCGGTCATAGTTGTGCTCTAATATCACCATTTTCATGATTCCTATCACTTATTCAAAGTTCAAGTCCGGTCACAAACATCATGTCACAAAAGGTCACAGCTACTATGAACTCTGGGCTTGAATTACAGGATCTATGGTTGATTTAAAGTAAATTTTAATGTTGTTTGAATGAACATAAACCGCAATTTGGACCAGATAGAAACAGGTTCACTTAAAAGTCAGGTAAAAGTAAGTGCTACCTAGGTCAAAAGTTAAACTTATGATGTTGTAAAACAAAAACCATATCGTTGGTCCGTCCCTCATTTTTACCTAAACGGACTACTTGTAGCGGAGCACTGGCGGATCCAGGGGGGGGCCACCGGGGCCATGGCCCCCCCCAAAAGCCTGAAAGGGGGGGCCAACATATCTTTTGGCCCCCCCCCCAAAACGCTTGGAGAAAAATTAATGTGAGAAGGTTGCGTAGTAGATACCTACTAGAATCAGCAGCGTGATTCAATAGCGTAGAGAAAGTCAGGGGCGCGGGAGCTACTTTCAGACTGGGGGAGCACACCATAATAGAGATCAACCTAGGGTCCCCCCAAATCTAGTTTTCTCACCGGTTTTAGGCCACTTATTTTTCATCCCTTGGCTTTTTCAACAAAAAAAGAAACAGTTGCAAAAAAGGACGGTATTCCGTCTGAAAGTTGTGGGGGCACCGCCCCCACTGGCGGATCCAGGGGGGCCACCGGGGCCATGGCCCCCCAAAAGCCTGAAAGAGGGGGCCAACATATCTTTTGGCCCCCCAAAACGCTTGAAGAAAAATTAATGTGAGAAGGTTGCGTAGTAGATACCATAATCAGCAGCGTGATTCAATAGCGTAGAGAAAGTCAGGGGCGCGGGAACTACTTTCAGACTGGGGGAGCACACCATAATAGAGATCAACCTAGGGTCCCCCCAAATCTAGTTTTCTCACCGGTTTTAGGCCACTTATTTTTCATCCCTTGGCTTTTTCAACAACAAAAAAAGAAAACAATTGCAAAAAAGGACGGTATTCCGTTTGAAAGTTGTGGGGGCACCGCCCCCACTGGCGGATTCAAGGGGGCCACCGGGGCCATGGGCCCAAAAAGCCTGAAAGAGGGGGCCAACAATCTTTTGGCCCCCCAAAGCGCTCGAAGAAAAATTAATGTGAGAAGGTTGTGTAGTAGATACTTA